CCCCAAAACCCCAAAACCCCAAAACCCCAAAACCCCTGGGATTATATAATATTTGAAATGAACAAATACGGAAAATTCCTGGAAGGTATCCTTCCTTTAACCACCCCTTTTAGAAGAAGAAAAAGCTAGCAGTGATAGGTACGAAGAGGACAAGAATTACGAGAATTACGCACCTGTCACATTCAACGGAGATTCTACAAGAGGGGAGATGAAAAAGCACCAAATCATGAGTTATAAAGAGTTTGAAGATAGGGTTAACGAGGAAATTGAGATTAAAGATGATAAGATAAATTATAATAGCAAGGGGATGGGAGGAATAAGTAAGAAACTAATTTAGGAGTGGGTTTTAGAGCTTTTAGAGATGATTTGAGAGGTTAGAATCAGGTCTTATGTGGATATAGTGGATAATAGTGCAATATAAGTCAGATGGAGCTGATGGGAAAAGAAAACCCTTATAAAAGCCCATTCAAAGGTCCAGTAGTACAAAATACCTCCTTTGAAGCAGATATTAGCATGGGTATCCAAGAAGCTAAGGAAGAGTCAAAAGAAGAGCCAAAAGAAGAGTCTAAAGACGATTCATTAAGAAGGAGTCTCTCTGGTATAAAGACTTTTCTGCAATTTAAACTAAACAATGGGGTAACCCTGAATACCTCTGTAAACCTTGAAACCACAACGGTTCTGAATCTCAAAGAAAGGATCTTTAAAGCTGACATTGACAACGGAAAAGTAGTCAGGATGATTTTCATGGGAAAAATGATGAAAGATGAAAACTTGCTATGTCAATATAAACTTAAGAATATGAGCTTCATCAGTGTAATTATCTCAAATGCTCTAGTTAGACCCGAAGGGGCCCAACCAGCTGATGGAGAGATTGAGACAATCGATGGAAAGACTGGATTCGATAGGTTTATCAAAATGCAGAACCAACTTTACACAGACATGCAAGTTCACCAGATGAGACTCGTCTTCCATTCCCTAATGATGAGGTCAGGTGCTGAGAGAACGGATGAAACAGCAGATGGGCTTCTTGAAAAGGAAGAGGAATGGCTTACAGGGACCCTGGTTAGTGACCAAACCATTGATGACCTGATCGACTGTAAAACAGTTTTATCCTGCAGGAATGACATTGTACTACCTACTTATAAAAGAATGAATGAGCCTGTTGTTTACAATGAGAATACAAAATGACTCCATATGCTTGGGTTTCTCCTACTCGGCTTCCTAATGCCGATAATCTCTCTGATAGTGTTCCTGTTTATCCTAAGTACTGAGAATGGAAAAGTAAAAGCAGTGATGACCGGAAATATTATCGCATTTCTAGTGATGATCCTATATTTTGAATAGTTTTCAATGATGATTTTATATCAAGGGGTTTTGGGGTTTTGGGGTTTTGGGGTTTTGGGGTTTTGGGGTTTTGGGG